TTCTTTCTTTCTTTCTTTCTTTCTTTCTTTCTTTCTTTCTTTCTTTCTTTCTTTCTTTTTCTTTCTCTCTCTCCCTCTCTCCCTCCCTCCCTCCTTCTCTCTCTCTTTCTTTCTTTCTCTTTCTTTCTTTCTTTCTTTCTTTCCTTCTTTCTTCTTTCCTTCCTTCTTTTTTCCCTCCTTCCCTCTCTCTCCCCCCTCCTCTCTCTTTTGTATTTTGGTACAATAGCTCTTATTTGTACATTTAAAGCTTTTTCAAAATAAAACCATTATTTACTTCCTCGAATTCACTGCACCATGGACGCTATGCTTCCTGAATAAAACTATGATCCCATTTAGTCCTAAAAACGCCCAACAATTTTGTTAGAGAGCTTACTACAGATGAAGAAGCAGATTAAGGTTAGGTCATTGCCACAGAGCTGCTGATGCAGGTAGCCTTATACTTGAGCGTGTATCTATTCAGCATGTCTGTGAAGGACTGGGGGATGCAATTGGGAAGCACCTTTCTCTAGGTGCAGAGCTTAGCATCAGGAAAACTGAGAAACACTCGAGAGGCAGTGCCAGGGATTGGGGGTGGGGCTGAGCGTCTTTGGTAAGAGCTGACTTCGTCCACAGTCAAATGTCCTTGCGCATTTCCAGTTCCCTTGCCACCTGATGATGCAGACTCTTTGGACCTACTTTGGTGTCTCATTGGAAGTTGGCTAATGCTTTAGTTTATATTTTGCCAACACTGAGGTGTCATCTGCTGAAAATATCTAAGTCACGAATTGTTAAAATCTCCAAATCAACTCTTCTTTGAGACCTATAACATAAGAAAACTTCTTTCAGTTGGGCATGGTGATGCTCTCCTGTAATCCAGCACTCAGGGAGTCAGAGGCATGCAAATCTCTGTGAGTTTGGTCTACAAAGTGAGTCCAGTACAGCCAAGGCTACACAGAGAAACCCTTAGTATTAAAAAACAAAACGAAACAACTTGCTGTTTCTGTAGCAGCCTGTCAGTTGACACAATCCCTAAAGAAGCTTGTAGTTAAGGCTCGAGAACCATTCAGTGTGCTCATGTGAAGTCAAAATGCCACGACCCACTACCTAGCCAAGTACGGAGCTAATTAAAGGGCATGTTAAGTTCCAACTCTAGTTACAGAAGGTCAGGGTTCCAAAGGCCTAGCTGAATGGACTTTTCAAGTATTCGTCCTTAAAATAGTTGCCTGTTTATAGTCTGTGCTCGGTGAATGCTGACTGCTCAGGTTCCTCAGACATGGGGTCATGAGTTTAAGAGATATTTCCATGTAGATGATAGATACGGTTGGTTATACATACTAAAATGCATAGTGTTCTCATAGTGTAATGAACTGCTATTTTCGGTTTCAAAGAGATCCATCTGTTCACCCTCCGATACCTCCAAAACCCTGCTCTCCCATCGCGTCTCCTAAGCAACCGAGGCAGAATAACAGGTAAGAACCTGCCCTTCAGAATGTCTTGCCAGGATGTTGAAGGAAAATGAGAGTAAAAAATTGTGAATGGCTATGTGAAACCATGGCTCGGCTTTTTCTATCCAGTCACTAATGCAAGACTCACAGAACTTCTTGCTCTGTCAATACACATGTGTAATTACTTTTTCTTTAGCATGGTGATAGCTATTACCTGCCCTTTGGAACAATAGCTTTAAAATGGCCATGGACCAGTAGAACTGGAAGTGTTGTCTGAAGGTTTCTTATATATTGACACTTGATATAAATACATATTTATATTAGGCATGTATCTCATGCCTATTAAATGTAAACCACATTAAACTACATATGTGAATATCTTTCTTTTCCATGTTCTTGTAGTTAAGCTTCCCATGGAGAGCTACATATTGTGATAAAGGGTATTCTCACACCTTTGTGTTACTACTCAAGTCCTCAGTTATGCTAGAAATACCTTTAGGCTGTTACTTGATTTTTTTTTTAAACTAAAGATTTTTTTTATTTATTTTAAAACTATCATGATTTTTTTTTTTTAAGAATTCCAAATAACTTATCTTCAAGTCAGGAAAACCACACTAGCTTTTTCTACTTTGAACTTCTGTCACTCTGTAATTAATACTTAGAAGCCAGTTCAGAGGCTTGGCCATCATTGTGCCTTCACAGAGTGTGACAATCTTGAACCATTTTTTCCAGATGGGTATCTCATCTTTTCTTTAGCATTGTGAGGTGTTGTTTAGTGTTGTGAGTGTCTCAGTGGAGACTGAGGTCTGCAGGAATGCTGCTTTTACTTCTTTTTATTTTGCCTCTTGAGGATTTTTGACACCATGCAAGAGAAAATTATAGAACTATTATTCATAAGTCACAACTATAGAAGGTTGGTTTTTTTTTTGTTTTTTTTGTTTTTTTTGTAAGAGGATAACGTTCTAGAAAGCTTGAACGAGGAACAGGGCTGTACGTGTGTTCATCCTTAGGGGGGTAAAACTCCAGAGCTTGGCTAACCTATAAGATCCCTCCAGATATCTGAAATTTTGTCCTCAGGATATAGCTTTAATGAGCCAGGGGAATAGTTTTTCACTGAACTAATTAATGATATGGGTTAGCTTTATAACTTTTCATTTCTGCAATGATGATAATTATCTCACAAGAGCAATGTCTCAAGTTTCTCATCTTACCTGATTGGTCCTCTTAGTCCTATAGTATTAAGCAATTAAGCCATAATTAGAATAGATTTTTTTTAAAAAAATAGAAATTGAAATAAGTTGTCGTTGGACCTAAATTCTAATCTAAAATCATTAACACTAGAGGGAGGCTCATGTTTATAGTAAGAAAAAGCTAAATTCCATAGGAATTGGTCAAATCCATTTTTACTATTTTCATTTCTTTCTTCCACTAATGATCCAAAAAATAAAATTGGGACAACTTGCATGTTTTAAAAACCCCGATTACTTTAATCACAGCATGGCGATTTTAATGAACGAATATGAAAGGCAAGTGTTGTCTGTGTAATTAACACATGTCCTCAGGAGAACAAAAAATAGTTGAATATAGCTTCCTGAGAATAAGCAAGAATGTATAAGTAGGTCAACCACAGTCTGAGGAAAAGAGGGAAGTCTTATAAATTCTGACAATATAGCACTGTGCAACTTATTGCTGTCAGTGTACTGTGGTCCTTCTCAGTGTGTACAAGTATTTGAAATTGTAGTCTTATTTCTGGCCGTTCCTGAGCAAGTACATTTCTTCGTGGTATTCACATGGGACAAATCTTTAAAAAAAAAAATTATTTATTTATTTATTTATTTATTTATTTATTTATTTTGGTGAACAACAAAAAAATTCTTAGCCAGGCATGGTGGCACACTTTTTAATCCCAGCACATGGGAGGCAGAGACAGGCAGATCTCTGTGAGTTCAAGGCCAGTCTGGTCTACAAAGTAAGTTTAGGACAGCCAAGGCCACACAGAGAAACCCAGTCTCAAAAAACAAACAAAAAAATTCTCAATATTTCAAATGTTATATCAATATCTGACAGTGGTAAGGACAAAAAGCTTTAATGAATGGAAATAAAATGCACAATGTTTATATCAGACACAACTAAATGTCTCCTGTGGTTTAAAACATATGAAAAGAAGTTGATACTGTAAAATCAGTACCTTACACTTTTTAAATGTTCAATAAGGGAAATAGTTGAATCTCAACCAATACTAAGAACTAGGGCAGATTTTTTTTTTGTGAAGTGATATAATATTTATATTTCCAGACACAATTGTCTTCTCAGAAATGTAAATTTAACATGGAAGAGTTTCCTACCTAACAGGCATTACTTTTAAAATTCTAGGCAGATACATGATACAGCAGTTGCCAGTGGAGAAGCTAGTCGACATGCCGAAAGAAATTTAAGGTACAAAGCTCTGTCTACATGCATGTAATTATATCAGTGGTAAAGCGTGTTTGTTGATGTACTTTAACAAATTAGATAAAATCAGTTTTCTTGCCAACTTTAGCTATAGTGAGTAAACTTTATTTATTTTTGGGACAGGGTTTCACTGTGTAGCCCTCGCTGGCCTAGAACTGTACGCAAGGCCAGCCTCAATTTTATATAGGTCCATCTGCCTCTGCCTCCAGAGGGCTGGTATTAAAGTGTGGCACCGTGCCTGGCTAGGTAAGACACGGTTTTGTAGGATCTTGTTCTTTAAGTTTGTTATGAGATTTACATTGCAAATCCAAAATCATCTGAACATAAGGACGAGATGAAACCGCTCGAAGGAAGGAGGCTTGCTTATCTCTGTACTCCCTGTAATTGCTTCAAGATAGAGGACACTGTTGCTCTGTGAGCATAAATGAACAAGGGGAAGTGTTCTTGCTTGGTTGCTCTTGTAGCACAGAAGCTTTCCGTTGGTTCTGGCTGTGGACCCTGTGTTCGGCCTCTCCTGCAGAGTCAGTACAGGTTCTCACATTGTGCGGATTGATTCTGGTGAGGAAGGAGGCATTTCCCGAGCATCTGCTTTCCTGCCACCACGGTCCTGATCCCCAACTGTTTTGAGCATCCCACCTATCTTAAAATTTTATTTCACTCTAGACATGTATGTTTTCTTTATATTTATTCTTCTTTGGTGTTAAGAAAAAATAATGGCGTTTGGAAATACTGTTTTTTTTTTTTTTTTAGAGGTAGGCATGATGGCACCTGCCTGTAATCCTAGCCCCTGGGAGGCAGGAACAAGAGGGTTATTGCACATTTGAGGCCATTCTGGTAACCTCTACGAGTTCTAGGATAGTCAGGGCTACATAAGGAATAGTGAGTGGGAGAAATGGTAGTACATCAAGAAGAGCCTGCCAGTTGATTATCCAACACCAAATAGTCAGCCCTAATATAATACATGCAAGTGACATTATACAGACTGAGTAATTTGTATGTATGTAAATTAATAAAAATGGTCTATGAATGTATTTGGGATGGCTTAGAGGGAAGAAAAAGGAGGAGATTATGATATTATATAATAATCTCTTTTTTCTTTTGGTTCTCAATCTAGCCTTTAATGACTGAGCTATCTCTCCAACCCAGAAACTATTTTTCTTTCTTTTTTTTTTCAAACAAACTGAAAAAATAATTCTAGCATCTCTATTTTATAGTTTTGGAGTTTCATAAGTATAATAAGCCAATTTGCAGTGAAAAAAGGACTGAGCTATTTCCCAAAGTCAAATTTCTTTTGTCTTGTCCCTTTGGCTCTCAGACCACACATTCACTGTGGGGGGAAGTTGACCTCTCTGTACTTACAAGTTTCTGTGAAGCTCTCTGCCTCCCACACTGAACTGCACCTGACATCGTGTGATGTCAGGGCATCTTCCGTGAGAGTTCGATGCTCCAGTCCGCTGAAGATAACTCAGTGGCAAAGAAGGGTGCTAGTGTCTGTGTGCACCACGACAGGGCCAACTCGTGATTCTATTAAACTCATCATTCCCGAGTATGGACTGTCCTGTCCTTCACCGGAAACTCTAGAAAGTTAGCTGCGGCTGTCTAGCTCCGGGCCCACTGACCTGCCTCTCTTTCTGTTTGTTGAAGGACTGAAGATCTTGATGACATCATCAGAGTGGCTGCTTCACTTCAGAAAACTGACAAGGGGTGAGGTCCTGGAACTCCCAAGCTTGGGTTTCCCTCCTCTTCTTTGTGATCTGAAAGCTAGCCAGTGCCTCTGTGATTTCATAGGAGCCAGTCCCCAGTGCTACTTATCGCATATGATTAAGAAGAAAAAAACCTCTCGGTGTCTCTCTTTAGGTCCCCATGAACAGGGGGTGGTGCTGACGCTTGTGGATGCCCATGTCCACCCTCCACCAGTCCGCTCATCCTCGTGATGTCAGGTCTCAGTCACACCCCAGTCCCGTGTTTGTGTCGCTAGCCCAGATGTCTACTCTTTTTTGTCCTTAGCCCCTCCACTTCAGATATCCTTGGACCATGTTCACCTGTCTTCACAGATATGCTATTGTCTGCTTCTGCTCTTCCATCCCTGCAGGCTCGACTTTCCGAAACCATCCTCAGTTCTTCCACCCTTTCCCCCTCTTTGCAGTATAGGTATGGACGCCCAAATGTCTACAGTGTCACTTGTAGGTACAGGGTCTCAGGCCTGTTCAGGCCCTCACTGAACCCAGGGTAAGAGGTTAGCATGGGCGTTTATACTTACTTCCACTCCTCTAGCCCCTCTTCTTTCTGTCCCATTGCTGACTCTGAATGCCAGATATGTTTTTCTGTAAATACCTGCCAGGGCTCTCCATAGCCCATATTTATCTCATAGTTGATACCAGCGTGGACCACTTTATTCCCACAATTTCCAGACACTTTTGTCTTTGCCATTCCTTCCCCACATGATCTTTACCAGTCTCAGTGCCACCATGCCCATCTATCCGAACCTTACCAGTTTTCAATATGCAGGTCACCGATCAGCTTCCCCATGAATCCTCCTTGTGCGACCCAGGGGAATGTCACTCCATCAGTGATAGACCCAGCGACTCCTACTCCACAGTCCTAACCACATTTGCTTTGCTTTTAACTTGTGTTACCTATAGAAGCATCTTCTCCTCAATCTCATCCTCATCATCCCTTTCAGCATCCTCTTCAGGGAAGATATTTCATCTCAGCCACCACAGATCATTTGCGCGTTAACAGGCAGCTTGGTCCAAAGGAGTAAAATGTCAAAACCCTGGATACAAACATTTCATTGTTTTAATCCCAAACCTGAGAAGTTTTTCCTCATTTAATGTAATCAAGCAACGATAAGAATTTACTAGGATATGTTTCACTAAAAACCAAAACAAACAAAAAAATCAAAAAGTTTGGCTGTACCGTCGTGTAACTCCGATCCCAACACTTGGGCGGCTGAGCAAGAAAGGGAGCCTCCAGAGTGACCCTCTCTGAACGCCATTACCTAACCAGAGGGGAAAATGATTCTTGGTTTTCTGTGTCATCGATAGGAGCTTTGTTTTAGATAGAGATGAGAAAGTATCTGCATGTTCCATATTCAAGTTTCGCTTTTCTCTCATTTGAGCTCCTGTGTTTCTGATATTATTAATTTACTTCACAGTATGCTCTTTAGTACTGGGGCTTAAACCCAAGCCTTATAAGTGATGAGAAAGTGATCTCTCACTGAGATTTCTTTGGTCTTTTTTTTTTTTTTTTCCAAAAAACATTTTATACCAAACCAGCATCTCTTTAAGTTTCCCAGGGTTGCCTTGAACTCAGTCTGTAACCCAGTCAGGTCTTGAACTTGTGATCTTTTTGCCTAGGTATCTAGGATCACATGTTTGCCCAGCCATGAAGGAAAGATAAGTGCGTGGTGCTGAAGAGGGATGGCATTGCGGCATGAGTCACGCACACAGGGAGAGCAGCACTTGCTTGGCTTTCCTGTCCCTGGTCCCCAGCCGCAGGCACAAATCTCACCGGACGGACATACATTTATCAGAGAGAGAGAGACAGAGAAAGTAGCTGCTTTCACACGGACCAGAGAAATGAACTCTGCACTGTCCAAAGGGAACAGAAAGAGCTCCATTATCCCAGCTGCTCTTTGTGGAATGGAAAGCTATTGCTATCTGATTGAGGGCATTTAATTTGTTGCAAAGACAATGGTGAAACTTAATATCTAAAGTGTTTTATCAATTTATAATCATTTTGAAAGCTCGGGTTCTTCATTCAGAGTGCTGTCTCCATGGTGCTTACTTTACCAAAGAGCATCTTTCTTGCGTATTATGCTAATTTTCTTGTGATAAACACTAGAGACCTTGAATCCTGAAAAAAGAAAATCTCATCATTGTGGTTCACGTCAGTCACAAAGGTCTGGGGCTAAAATGTATAGGGTTCTTAGAGTTGCTCTTTCCCTTGGAAGAGAAATGAATTTTCAGCCAGCCTCTGCCTATCAGGTAGCATTTCAAGCAAGAAACAGTCACAAAACACCATGTCTTGGCACCAGGCAGCCTTTTCCCCCCCTTTAGGGTAACACATCACTCCTTTTCCTTTTCAGTCAGGGCCAGTAACTGGTTTTCAAACATTTCAGTATTTATTCTCAAGTTTCAGTTTTATCATTCAATGTATAATATTGCTTTAAATGAAACATCTGTTTATTGGTGTTGAATCGAACATGTTGAAGGTCCCTGAGAGGACTGTTCTGGACAATTTTTCTGGGAATAGTGGTTTATCTGGCATCTTCAGCACACAGAACAGACTCATCCATTACATCTCTCTTAAGCTGACACAGTGTCTTGCTGTGTACAACTCAATTGAAAAGGTAAAGATAGCAAGCCTGTATTACATGAACAATATTGACAAGGTACTATTTATTATAACGGCTCAGATTAAGTGAGCATCTATGACTTTCTAGGCATTATGCTCAGCACTGTATATTAACTTATTGATTCTTTTTAAAGATGAACATGATCCATACTATTATTTTTACCTATGGGGAAACTGTAGCAACATGAGCTGAAGCAATTCACTCAGGTCACCAATGAATCATGGTGTCCTTTAGATGGGGGTGTAGATGTCCGTGGCTCAAAAGATTGTAGGTGTTTACTGGTCTGCTGGTCAACACCAGAGATGACTCAGGAAGAAAGAAGAATGCTATGAAAGTCCCCTGTGTGATGCTATAGCAGCAGGAAGAGAGAACCAAGGCATGTGGATGAAAACACTAAAAGAGGAAGGCAAGAGACATGGGGAAGAGAGTAGATGGAAGAAGGAAAGAGAATCTGGGTAGAAGGCATGCTCTGAGGAGTACACTGGAAAAAGCTCTAGAGAATGGTCCTGGTGAGCACCCTGCCCCAGGCTCCCTGCTTGGGGACGAGAGCTGAGCCCATGGTTTAAGGTAAATTCTCCAGGCCATAAGCTTAGCTTAAGTAGGTCACTCCCAAAAAGACTGGCAGAAAGGGGCTTTGCAGTTCTCAAATGTAGAAACAGACTTGCAAACTTAGTTGACCTAGAATGAACTTGCAGTAGGGTTGAAGAAGCAAGCCATTGTCTTTTGAGTAGTTGCTGTCTGCGCAGGTACACTATCTGAAAATAGAGTCTATAATTAACCAGGGCAGCTGTGTTTGAGGAGTCAGTTAAAAATGAGTATTAAACATCTACCTAGAGATAATGTGTTAGAGACTGACTGGATGCATTGTAAAGTACAGTTCTGCATTTTTAAGTAGTGTCTCTGGGAAGGGACATGCGACAAAGCACAGTCGCTGTTCCTATAATACATGGTCCAGCAGAGTTCCATAAGACAGACACAAAACTGCACACGCTGCCAGAGGTCCAGACATGGGGAGACCTCAGCTGGTGGTCCAGGGAAGGCCTCTCTGGCAGCGTGGTGTTACACTTGAAGGATAAATAGGGCTTCACAGATAATTAACATGGGCATGTGTTCAGTTTCTGAGCGCTCAGAGTTATTTTAAGGTGAATCTGTCCTTTGACTCTGGGAAGGCATTTAAACTAATATTAGGGTTTGTTTTCTTCTCCCGAAGGGAAGAAATGGATAACCTCATCAGAATGAACAAAAGCTTGAACAGGTGAGGTTTAAAAGGTCTTATTTTCATCTTATTGTAGAATTGAACATTGTAGCTTCTTGGATCATCTTTTTAGAATTAAAAACAACGTTCAGTTTTAGAGTAGGAGGATCTGACTAGCCAGGAATACCTCACCAATCTTGAGTAAAGGGCTTGTAGAAATAAACAGTTATAATAAAGTAACTTATTATTTCATTATTTTAACTTTATTATAATAACATTTTAATAAAATAATCAGTTAAAGTCTAAAAGTACTGATATCTAAGTATCCTTGATTTTCATGTTCCATGAAATTTAAGGCAGTTGTATGTTTATACATATGCCACAGTTTCTGGTATCTTAATACACTTATATGTACGCTGTTTCACTCGATTGCTGAATATTTTGAGTTTAACCACTTCAAAACTCACTACTATCTTTTATTATTATCTCCCAGTTTTGAATTACTTGCCACTGCAAAACAAAATATCCTAGGAGAGACAAATGAAGGGCAGAGGTAGAAAGGGTCAGCAGATACCAAAGAGAAGGAACAAATTAAGAAGTGTCCACTGGTTTCATTGCTCTAAGGCTAGAAATATGGTTTTCCTACACTGTTTTAAGACTGTGATCTATATTCTGCAGCGTGACTGACAACGGGTCACCTAAATTTGCTGCTCTTCGGATTCCTCATCTGTTCAGACAGGAGGTTGTAGATCAGGAGTTGTAGAGTCAGGCGTGGATGGGTGGATGTGGCTCACTTCATAAGGCATAAGCTGTGGAGGAACCAGGACAAGAAGAGAAAATATCCTCTCAACAGCATCTCAGAACCAACTGAGGAAGCCACACAGGAATCTGAAGCCAGTGTTGTGGGGCATCAGGAGATCTTGAAATGTCATGGACTTGCATCATGGATAGCTCTATAAGTACTAGCTCATATTAAAATGATATATATGTATATATATATATATATATATATATATAATTTTATATATTTTCAATTCAATGCTTTCTATCTATCTACTAATCATTGATCAATCAATCTATCTGCAATTAAAGGAAAGGTGAATCTGAGAAAAAGGCCATGAATCTGAGAGAGGTGTGGGAAGGAGTATACATGGGAGGGGAGTAAAGAAAAAATAATGTGCAATTGTACTTTAATTTTAAAAATATAAAGAGAGAAGACAGCGACTGGGGAGATGGCTCAGTGGTTAGTGCACTTTCTGCTCTTTCGAGGGCCTGGGTTTGGTCCCTAGTTCCCACATAGTGGCTCACAGCCCTCTGTGAGTCTCACCCTCTTCTGACCTCTACAGAAGCCAAGGGTTGCCCATGATGCCCAGACATGCTGGCAGACAGAACACACACACACACATACACACACACACACACACATGATTTGTTTAAAGAGAATGCAAAATAAAAAAATAACAAGGAAACACTTTGGTTGCATTTTTCTCTAAGACTTAAAATTTGGAATTTGGAAAAACAAAAAACAAACAAACAAAAAACCACCTGTGTGGAATAGAGCAGTTTCCAGAACCATAGCCATCTTTCCCAGGCAGCTTGTATTTTACATGTGAACTGCCGTATGCTTTTTATAATGAAGCATATGTCATTATTACTGACGTGATTTTTTTTTATCCATATATATTTAAAGAAATCAAGGTCTCGATGGCCTCTTCAGAACAAACCTAAAGGCACAGCAGATAGACAAGAGGTAAGTGTGCCTGGCATCTCTGACATTCTGCGTTTCAAGCTGCGCCCCTTGCTCCTTCTCATGGCGGCAGCGGTGAGGGTGCCGCAGCCCCTGGCAGGAGAGCACACTAGCAGACGGGCTAGCTCGCTCAGCACTGTACATTTAGTTCAGACGTAATTGCCCGGAATGATCTCCGCTCTTCCATGCAACAAGAGAAAATGAGTAATTCATAGAAAATGTTTATTATATCTGACCTTTCCAGTTGCCACACAGTTTCACAGTTTTTATTGGATTCCTTTTGTTTCCAGAGCTCAGAGTCTTGAAAGTCTCATCTTTATGAACACCCAGATGGACAGAGACGGGAAAGGGTAAGATTCAGTCAGGTCAGGCCGCTTCATCGAGTCTTTGACTGCCTTCTGTTGTCAGCAGGACGCCCCTTGCTCTGCCAGGGTCAGGCCATCTGGTGGCACAGGCTCTGGGTCAGGATCAGGGAAGGCTGGGTTCCTCAATGCTGCCCCTCCACCGTCTTGACCTCAGTGACCTCATCAAGTGGCCTAATCTCTGGGAACTTGTTTCCTCTGCCTAGAGGATCTCCATACTCATTTTCGTACTTAAAATGAAAGAGAGCCAACTGATCACAAGACACTTTGGTTCTGTCTGCCACTGGCACCCTTAGACTGTAGAAGAAGGCATCTCTCAGATGGATACTTGGTCACACTTCATATGTTGATCTTTTTGTAGTCATCTTAATGTTGAAAGACACTGAAAAGTTTTTCGGTGGGTAAATCAGTGATCAATAACTAAACTAGTAGCTCTTGAGAGACGAATTTACAATCTTAGACGGATAATGACAAACTAGGAAATTGGCTCTTTATTATTGATGCGATTTTTCACATTGAAAGAAATCAAATCCCTGACAGTCTCCTTAAATAAAATGTCTGAGCAGTGAAGAATGACAAAGGTTAAGGGTTTATGAGATTGCTACCATTTCTCCCCAAACTGGTCACTTACTTTGTATGTGGTCGGATTTATTAAGCTTGCCTTTCTAAGATGACAGTGATCTCTGACATCACCTTTATTTTTATAAACCATTTGTCCGGCCAGTGTGTGCACAGAATGGTACCCTCGTTTTCCATGTTAGTCCTGTCAGATACATTCCCAGATTTCTGATCCAGAACATACAGAGACGCCTGTATGATGGAAGGCCTTCTCAGTGAGAGCCTCTCAGGCATGCTGACTCATTACAGGCGACTTCCTCCAATGGAGGAGGCAGTGGAAAGCAGTCAGCAGTTCTGCAGTGTCCATTTGTGTTGTAAAGGAGAAAATGAGATATCAGAAGTTTTAAAACAAGAAGCTTAGAGAGCTCCAAGAGAGTGGTAGGAAACAGGAGAAGCAGGGGGAGCTTAGCAGTCCTGGTATGGAGTGTGGAAGAGGAAGGCCAGTGACTGCTAGCATGGGCAGCTTAACCACACCTGAACAGGATACGGGACTAAGTGAGCTTACAGGCACCAGGAGGCGAATGCCCTCAGTTCTTGTCATTGTTTCCTTCCCCCATCTTAGACAGCAGAAGAACTTCACATGCCAATAATTTTATCACAGTGGAACCATTCAGAGATGAAAAATATTAGTTGTATAGTATCAGGGGATTAGCTTTCAATTAGTTATTGTTCTTGTCATATAGCCTGGTTAGTCTCAAACATGCAATCCTCCTGCCTCAGTCTCTCAGGTGCTTGGATTACAGGTATGGCCAGCCACCAGTCTCTAGTAAGTCTTAGTTTTCGGTATAAGAAAGATCCATCCTATGTGATAAGTTAGCACGAAGAAGTGTTGCAGTTAGAGTGACCTTATTTCCACTCTTCATGATGGCCTTAGACCTCTTAAGGGCATTTCAGAAACTTTCAAGGGAAATAACTTCTCCAAGTCCTCAAAATAATTCCATTTAAAGCATTGACCTATTAATTGATTTCTTCTTAGCATGAATGAGTTTTTATGCTTAAGGAGGACAAATTCTTCATGGCCATATTAAACCCATCCTCCTTCTAATCTACGCCCTCTCCCCCCTAAAAAAAAAAAAAAAAAAAAAAAAAAACAAGAAAAGGCTAAGGCCTGGTGGGAAGGTTTGCTTTTAAATTGATTCAGTTGTAACTGAGCAGTGGTTGATAACCTTGACAGCAAGGCATCTCTTGAACATTTTATGCCACTTGAACTAGGTATTTCTAAGAGTTGCCAATGCTTTAGGCCCTGATTGCATCTCATTCCTGCTGTGAGACATCTACAGCTGTCTTAAGGGTTTTTGAACGTGCCATTGAATTTTACTCTCACACACTTTCTTTCCTCGACCCCAATGCTATAAAGAAATCAATCCTTTGGAAGTCTTAAGAAAATCAATCAAAGGACTGACAATGAGAAAGGGTAAGTAAAACACCACCATTGGTGGCCTTCTTTCACCTCATCAAAACTGGGAGTTTCATAACTATTTCCCGCCACAGATGAACTGTTCAGATTTATCAGAGATAGAGGGTCAAAGGAACATAGTCCATGCCATTTCTAAAGGGTGGCCATACAATTCCACTACCAAATCTTCCCATCTGTGTTTTATTAAATAATTAAAACGTGTGTCAATTTTTAATGTGAATCGAGAAATGTAAGGGAAAAATTACAAGATAAGAGACACGATGTCCACTGTTTTAAATCAAGGACCACTGTGAAAATTAATGTAGATAAGAAGCTAGAAAATGGCATGGGGAGACAGATAGGTCAGTCAGTAAGACATCTGCTGGGCAAGCATGTGGGTTTACGTTCATATCTCCAGCCCTCATGTGAAAACCTGGTGTCTTCCCCTTCTCAGCGCTGGAGCCTCATCTGGCTTGACTCTGTGCAGGGCCGCAGTTTATCTGAGTTCATATGTGTGTAGTGTTCCTGGGTGGAAGACACTGTCTCCTTAGTGCTGGCCTAAGTTTTGATGACATTTTTTTTTCCTCCCAAAGAAGTCAAGAGCTCAGATCAGTAATCAAAACAAATTCCACGGCAGATAGAAGCAGCAGAAGGTAAGAACTGCTTGGATCTCTGAGTCTCAGGCTTCTTCTGGCTTAACTGGTGACCTCAGCGGGAAGGAGGGAGTCACAGCTTCGAATCTGTCTTCTCTCTTGCATGTCTTCTGCAGCCCTGTCATTAACTTTGAAGAGTATATTGTGATTGTATCTAAACATATTTATATATAGTACAATAAAATCTTGGAGATTTACTTAACTAGATTACTTAGTCAATTTATACTAAAATAAATTTGATATCAGAATAATTTTCTCCAGAGAAATAATAATTTAATGAGTTAATTATTAAAATAGAGAATGGATGTTAGGAGTTGGTCTGATGCTCGTATTTTGATGCTAATTACTGGCTCACAAGATCTGGTTACTGCCCTATCCTTATTGTACAAACCTGCCTAAGACATTATTCCTGACTGGTTGATTAAAAGGCTTAAACCTAGGCAGGGCAAAATGGGGTAGGTGTGGCTAAGGTTCCAGGCTTTGGGTTCAGGAGAAACACAGGAAACAAACGGATGGGAAAAGAAAAGGAAGGAGGTCACCACAATGGGTTAGCATAGCTACATGGGCTGGAAGGAAGGGCTCCAAAAATGGCATAGAAAGAAACACCAAGATGGAAAATATAAACAAGTACTTATAAGATTATGGATGGAAGGTAGCCTAGATAAGGATAGCATTGAGTGGGGGCTGGGAGGTGTGTGGTGAGGTTATTGAGATAGCATGGGTAGAAATATCTGCCCAGCCCAAGGTAAATAAGGCAACTATAAAATCTAATGTCTGTGTTATATTAATTGTGATAGTGGGTAAAGTATTACCACTATAACAGTTATAGGGATAATAATAAATGATATTTAATCCAACACTAATTTAAATTTGAGCAACAAGTGGTGCCCAATGTGGAGCACCATCTGTTGAAAGACCATTAATATTTTATATTGATTTATATTTTAGTAAGGCAGTGGCTACTCTCTAACAGCTATATATCCAAATAACCACAGAGAGACAAGGGGTTATTTAATTAGCCTAGCCACAGTGCTGCTCAATAATTACTCTATCCTAAACCTCCAAGCTAGTATAGCTTCCACCCATTCAGATTTCCCACATTTTACTTGCTTTTTAGTCATATTCTAGGTCTGGTTTATTTTTCCTGATGTTTTCCGGTCTTCTCCTCATGGGTCCCACTTGAACTCACACCTTTCTTCTCTCCTCACCGGACCATGATGTCCCACCCTATTTTCTGCATTTCTCAGCATTGACTGGTTGGCTTTATTGGCAATACAGAGAACGAATGGTGGCATGTTTACACAAACTTGAGACAGGAGATGCTTAGAATAAACATTGAGATGCAATGTTCAGATTGAAACCAGATAGTGGGGTAGAGAAATCAGCATTTGAATAAACAAGGGTAAACTGTACACAGTCCACAAGAACATTATGCCATCAAATGGATGATATATATCTAGATCTATCTGTAATCTAATTCTATGGAAACTAATCCAAACATTCTTTTCATAAGAGGTAAAGATCTTGAAAATGTGAAGATCAACCCCGGAGGACATGAAAATACCACTGGGTATGTCTCACTAATGTCTTTAGTTTTTATTTCTACATAATAATTAGAAGACAAATGAGTTGACATTTTTAGCTTCATAACCACATTCTACATTATCCAAAATAAATGGGAGATGTGGCCATTCATGCGTATCTTCTACAAATGTATTTATTTTAAAATGATTGTCTCAGTATTTAATAGTGAGTTATTTTTTCTACTTGGTTTGGGGTATTGATCTCTTTTTAAGGATTGATGGGAGAGTAGAAATGGCCTAAGGGATGCAGTCTTCATGTAGCTTCTGAATTCATCTCTGGGATGACAGAGACAGCCAAGCCGGCCGGCCTTCACTAAGCCTCCCTAAGTCACCTCCTTTAAGGATGGTGGTTTCGTCTAGCAGCCCCGGGGGAGACTGGGCCAGTGCCTGGACAGGAGTAAGGACTTCTTCCCCAGTCCAGGGCTTCTTCCCCAGTCCAGGGCTAGGATGCAGGCATTGTATGCAAACCCTACTCCTACCATTCTGAGCACAGCTCCTCTGGGTTCTTACAGGGGGAGCATGTAGATCTGGTAGGAAGCGAGTCTTTATGCTTCTGACTATTTAATGAGTTTTTGTTTTTTTCAATCTTATTCTTTGTTACTTATAATAATTTACTTGGAGGCAAAAGATAGTCAAAAGTTTGGACGTGGGCATGATTGATAGGTTTATATGAGGACATGTTTTTTTTTTTAGTATTTTCAATACTGTTAAGTTAATATGTTGTTATCAATATCTTTATTATTAAAACAAATAAAAAAGAGATTGTATCAATTTGTCAAGTATCAATTTTTATCCAGCCCGGTTTTAGTGGCTAACACAATCAAGCTTAGCTTACTTCACTGTGGCCCATTAGACATGACCTCACTAGATGGATCTGAAGACAAAGTTGTACTTATATTCTGAGAACAAAACAGACTGTCCATATGCATGTGTGTTGTTAGCAAATTAACAACCTTAAGTGGCCCTCGGCCCGAGATCTGGGAGTTGTCGTTTGTGTTTAGAGCATTAAATGTTCACACCGGTGTAGATAACTTTTACATTTATCACTTCTTCTTAATGCTAAGCTACTATTCGTTTGCTTCATGCTTTATCTTAATGACATTCATTAGAACTCATTTCCTTTTCCAAAGAGAACAAGACCTTGATGGAGCGATTAAAGGGAATCCTGAAACAAACCGTCCTGTGAAGAGGTAAGGCATCTGAAGCGTCCCTTTGCCAGGCCCTTGGTAAGCATGTTAGAGTGCTACTGTTTATGTTTAGGACAGTGAATTGACGTTCAATGCCAAGTATATAAATGCTTGTGTGTGTGTGTGTGTGTGTGTGTGTCTGTGTGTGTGTGTGTAGGGGATAGCATGCATGTGAACTGTATTGTGAAAAGGAACTTGTAGCTGCATCATTTACGCATCAAACAATCCCCGGACTCTTTTCCCCTCGGTTAACTCAGTATATGATATTATTTGTTGTTTCAGAGATGCGTCAGCAATGAGTGCCCCAAAGGCTCTGCTGACAGAGCAAAGGCTCAGCTGGCTAAAAGCTGCCGCGTGCTCTGCCAAGCTGCCCTGTATTTGGCCATGTGGCACAGTCAGAGGCATAACCACCCAGTTAATTAGGCAAAACAACCAAATCTTGCATACTTGCTGAGAGAAAAGCCATTGGCCTCTTTGGCTTCATAAGTGCATAAGTGGTTCAGGATGATGGTGGGGACATTTTAATGTGAACAGGGACTCTGGAAGCCCTGGAGAGGAAAGGGTTTATTTCACCTGAAAGAGAAATCGAGGCAGGAACAAACAAGCAGGGATTTGTGCGGAGTCCACGAGGTAGTGCTGCTTACTGGTTTCCTCCTCATGGTCTTTTCAGCCTGCTTTTTTTTTTTTGAGACAAGGTTTCTGTGTGTAGCCCTGGCTGTCCTGGACTCACTTTGTAGACCAGACTGGCCTTGAACTCACAGAGATCCACCTGCCCCTGACTCCCCAAGTGCTGGATTACGGCGTGCGCCACTGCGCCCAGCTTCAGCCTGCTTTCTTATACCACCCAGAACCACCGATCCCAGGATGGCACCACTTGCTATGGGGGGGGGGTAGATGTAAACACATCAACCATCAGTCAAGAAAATGCAGCAAAGGTTTGATCACAGGCAACTCTGGTGGGGGCATTTTCTCAGTGAAGGTTCCCTTTTCCAAAGTGACTCTAGCAGGCATCAAGTTGATGAAAAAAACTAAAAACCAAAAACCAAAACAAAACAAAAAACTAGCTAGCACACTCATCTGCCACAGAGGAATCATAGTACATTTGTGCTCAGCACACATTGGATATAAACAATGAAGCACAAGTCAATGTTAGAAAAAATTCAGATTAATTATTTTCATAACGATCTACTCCATCTGCATACATTTAGTTCATCTTGCCATCCAAAATTAGACTCCGATTTGATATTTATTGATCACTTCAAATTGTGGCCTATTATTGCCTATATAATAGAAATGCGTATGTGTGTACATGACTGGGTATTTGCCTATGTGTGTATATTTAAACGCTTGCTTGCACGTGTGAATTCCCATATAAGCACACGTGTGTGCTTACATGTGGAGATATGTACCTGCGTATGTATGCAGGTAGACACTTACCTGTGCATGTGAGCATTTTGCATAAGTGAACTATTACTTATATACGAATAGTGGTTGTGTATTCATGTATGTATGTATGAATGAGTGTATGTGTACATGGATATATGTACGTGTGTGAACACATGTGAAATGCGTGTGTGCTTCCTATAAGCTTTTAAGGATAGTACTTTTAATTTACTTTTTACATGATGAGACTTTGTAAGTATTTTAAAAATAAAGTGAGGGGTTCCGTCAGTAACAGGCAGAGAATCTGAGTGAAATTCTCAGCATCCTTGAAAAGAGTCAGGCATGGAGCACAGCCCTGTCATTCCTGTCCTAGGAAAGTAGAGACAGAAGGATCCTACCAAATCAGTGAACTCTACATTCAGTAAGAAGCCCTTATCTTAAAAAATAACATGAAGAGTGATATAGACATCAATCTCTGGTTTCACGTACACACACACACACAAACACACACGAAAAGAGAGGAAGTTTTCTTTTTTATTAAAAATATTTTACCGTTTTCCATCTCAAGTGGAATATAATTCTATTTTTTTACTTTTTCAATAAGGTCCTACCAAACCCCTCCTAAATCAGGTCCATTTTTGCTTTAAGGTGTTTACACATACTGTTCCCATTTTCTGGAACTGCTGTCCCCGTGTTGTCGTCTTTTCAGACAGGTCATTTTTGACTGCTGGATGTAATTAAATTATACACCCCACTTGTCCTCGGTACTACAAACACCAAATACTCGTTTTAAGGGACAGTACATATAAGCTAGCTGAAAAAATATGCCATTCATTTAGATGTCTGGCTATGTCCTTCCTTTCCGCAGCGTGGAACATAGGCCTCAAATAGGCTGATTCTGTGTCTGTTTCATTCACATCCATTCCACCACTTGGTAGAGCCTAGTCCATTGATGTCTGCTATTTGTGGACTGCAAGAATGTATGTATACACTACGTCAATGACTCGCTTAAGCTTCAAGTGGTATAGCATTATAATAATTAGATCACATTAATTAGTTCGCTTTTCTTTATTGGCTTTGCACATTAAGAACTTAAATGGCCTTATATAGTTGGGGGGCTCACTGAATGTTTAAAGGGGTGAAGTCTTTGTAATACAATGAAAGCAAACTCCCAACCAGCACTCTTAAAGGAAGGGCTTACAGTGCCTTGCTGACCTGTTATTTATTTGATCACTAAAATCTTACAATTGTAACCTGGGAAGATTTTCTCAGACCATGTGATTCAAATCCCACAGGCTTCATTCAGGTGAAGAAGCAGGGCTAATCTGGAGTGCAGGAGTTGTTTCTGTGGGGTTAATTGCTTCATTATTGTTGCGATGAAGGTCCACACACGTTCCTTGCTGTCTTTGGGCTGAGTGTCACTTCTTGAGACATCTAGATCAAGCAAAAACTTGGGTCAACATCTGGTTGCTTCTAAATACTGAATCTTTGACGTTGTGTAAAGGAAACCCCAGAGACATCTTCGTGGGGTCATCGAGCAGGAGAGAGAGGGTTAACGCTCCCTCTCGGGAGGCTCTTCTCCCCACATGGCAGCCTCTGGAGACCAGAGGAGAGGTTGCTGGTGAGACATATGTGAGAAGCACATGCAAAAGCACTAAGAGAAGCATCACTCCTTTAAGCTCAGAAGCAGGCGTGTGGTTGAGGCCAGGAGTAAAGCGCTCAAGTGTTTTCAGTAACGGTGGAGTTCTTATTCCAGCCCTTATGGCTTAGACTTTGGTACATTCCAGAAGTCTACAGACTTCAGTTTTTTGACGGTTTGTTCCTAGAACAATCAGTTACAATGTGTGTCATTCTAATGAGTTATAAGCACCAGAAGGAGACACCATGCTGTATATAGTACATTGTAAACAAATCGGTGTACTCATCTTAATGCAGTTTTCTAACAGAGAACTTATCAATGAATGCCAACAAAATATGGATTTAAAACAGTTTCTTTTACACACGTTGGAGGTTGCTACCAAGAGAGAATGTTACCTGGAATGTACTCTGAAACAAGTATATGGACTAACGAACACTGTTTTGTGTAGTTGGCAGCGGTTAACAGAGCACCATTAAGTGCACTGGAGTAGAGAACGCCCTATTCAGATTTTGCTAATAGCCAAACGTCTGCATAAAATGTTGCCTCCCCAAGTCTCAGTGAGTTTCTGATCTACGTTAATCCCTCCACCCCTGCGCTGTCACCTTTAACCCTTTGGCATGACCTCAATGTGCGTTTACACTGTTTCTAAGCCTTAATTGGTAGTTTCCTTCTGTCAGCTGAAAATCTCCCCTTAACCACTCCATTTTTTTCAATGTTTCACAGGGGCCAGAGCCTTGACAATCTGATCAAAGTCACCCTGGAGGCAAACAGAAGTAACCAAGGGTGAGAGAATTACGTCCTACCTCTCCTTTCTCGCATCAACATGTAGCACTATGAAAGAAGGAGCTGGGATACTTGGACCCAGAGAGCCTGAAGCTCACTGCTTGCTAGATGGGGTACTGAGCCAGTCCCATGGCCACTGGGCTGCAGCTGCCAGGCACGTGTGAGGAGCGTGAGCTTAGTCTCTCTTTGCAGCAGACAGCAAGAAGAATCAGGTGGAGTCGGACCAAAGTGCTGTAAATGGAAATTATTATCCAAACACCATCCTTGTGACTACAGAATAAGCGTGAATGCTTCTGGAGGCAGGACATGTTTTTGGATAAACAATTGCTTTGTTCCAAAATAAGCTTAATTAAAAAAAAAAAAAGTTCTATCGTGCTTTGGGCTTTGGGACTAAATGAGAAACTAAGACTGTATAACAATCATTTGTATGAAGGTTAACTTTTATTCCTGTACTCAGGAGATTTAGACCAGTATTGATTTCTATCAAAACTTAATATTAACATTTATTTTGAGGACATATGTATTCATAAGATTCAAAGCAAAATGGCAAGTTGATTTCATTCCATTTTTATTGAGTAGGTTTTTGTCTGGTTTGTCTGTTTAAAGTTCCCAACGAACTTAATAATTTCATCAGGGTGAATACAAGAACAGGAAAAAGTTTTCAAGGGTAATATTTAATATACCCTTCCTTGTGGTTTCATGCTAACCAGTGTTTATAAGCATAATGAAATCATCAGTTACGTTGGCTGATCCTGAGGGAAGCGATAATTCTGACTGTATATCTAAGACAGCAGAGATTGCTGTCAGGTAATTTCCAGGACAGTGAAGGTCCTCTGATCATTTAGGTTCAAGTTGTTCTCCAGCACACACAGACAACACTGTTATTGGTCAGTTCCTTTTAGCGGAAGGACGGAGCAGAAATGGGGAAGCACTCTGGGCTAGAGCCCACATACAGGAGTCTAGGTCTGTTCTCAGACTGGACAGTTTGCTTAGCTTTCTCATCAAACTGAGTAGCTGAGGTGCCTGGACACTTCCAGATCCAATTCCACCACCACATTTCAGCAAAACACCTGGCGTCAAGGCGTTAGTAATTATTTTATAATAAAATGTCAGTTTTAACTAATAATTTCAGCCATTTGATGTAACTGATATGGTTATTTCTTCTATATTTTTAAGGGGTCAAAGTCCTGACAATTTCATCAAAGGGGTGCCCGAAACCAACCAAGCTAACCAAGGGTAAGGCTTAGGAAATATTTATCTCTTCTTTTTTTTTTTTTATTGACCCACTCTTAAAAATAAAAAAGTGTTTTATATGGTCCTAGAAACGTCCCCTAGAAGGGATGCAAAACCGGAAACTGGTACGTCACCAACCCACAGGCTGGTACTGAAACCCTGACACGGGGTTCCCTGGCTGTGGACTGTGGTAGAGACAGGAATTCCTCGAACCACAGTGGTCAACTTATTTCTGTATAGTATTTGTATTACAGAGTAATGGGAATCCCCACAGGATAAGGCAGCATCCTAAAATGATTTCCTAAAACCAGGCAGCTGAAGCAGAAGTCTGCAGATTACAAAAGGTTCCCCTGTCTACTTTCTCCTCTTATTCCCTTTCTTCTTTTTGTCTAAAACCCAACCAGTTCTGAAGTTAGGAAGTCATTTTAGTGTGTGTGTGTGTGTGTGTGTGTGTGTGTGTGTAAATGGTGTGCACACATGTTTCTGTCCTGATGTATGTGGGTCTATGTATGGGGCTTGTATATGTATTGTCTGTATGGAGAGGTCAAAGGTTGACAATGTGTCTTCCCCAGCTGCTTTCATCTTAAAGTACTGAGGCGACGACTCTTACTTGAACCCGAAGCTCATTGATCTAGCCTCCCCACCCCCCAAGGGAGGAGCAGTCCTGTTAGGCCACAGAGGAAAGCTTTGCAGCCAGTCCTGAAGATACCTGATAAAACAGGATCAGATGAATGGGGAGGAGGTCCCCCCTATTAGTGGACTTGGCAAGGGGCATGGTGGAGATGAGGGAGGGAGGGACTGGAAGGGAATGAGGGATCGGGACACGGCTGGGATACAGAGTTAATAAAATGTAACTGATAAGAAAAAAATAAAATTCAAAAAAAAAAAAAAAAAAAAAAGAATAGTCTAGCCAGAGTTTGGCTTTTCTCGCTAGCAGCTTGCTGTGGGGATCTTCAGTCTATTCTCACAAGATCCGCCTTACCTGCCTTGCAGGTAAGGGTAGTAGGATTCTAACTTACCGTCTTTATGCTTGTGTGCCAAGTGCTACCCGCTGAGCTCTGTCCCTGTTCCAGGAGACCGTTAAAAAAACCATACTCAGTTCATTGAAAAAAAGAAAAAAGACATTTATCTTTCATACAGAAAGAATTTTCCCTATGCCATACCATGTCAAGTAAACAAAGAACCATACTGCCATCCTGTAACTGAATCTTTAGTGCTGAGTTGTCCTGAGAGTTCATAACCTAACTGAGAATAAAACCTTATTGTCAGATGCTGACTTCAGAGAAATAATAAATGCTTTACAGTGAAGTATACAACCCAACTCGGAGCTCTATAGCTTTTGTTTGGAACATCTATCCTAACTATTAGAATCGTAACTATAGAGAAACTCATTGTGATAGACAGGCTTTGCATCTGGTTCATTTTGCTGCGTGAGTTTTTATTTGCAGAATAAATTTTATTTTTTAAGAAGAGGATTCAAGTCATATTGGAGTTTTAAATTACTAAATATCAATTTGATTTGATATTAAGGCTAAAAAGTATAAAGTGATTGTTCTTGGTTGACCTTGTTAGATATTGCAATGTATTAACTTTCAGGAACCAAGACCTGGACAGTCTGATCAAGGTGACCTCCTCAGCAAACAAAAGGTAAGTTATGGGAGATTATTGATTGACACATACTCCAATTTATGTAAAATGAGTAGGATTATTTGGCTAGAGAGGTCTCAAAGGAGGGGATAAGAAAGTAGAAGATGATTTGTTAACTTGTAAAATACTAGACAGGGTTTCCTCTTACCATTGCTTCCAATCATTTCACTTTAATATTGTTTTAGATGATAATACAGATGCTAATTCTGTGTAATTACTACTTGAGAAATTCCTTGTGACACCATAATCACACAAGTACGTTAATACGGCAAATTCTTAGTTAATAAATTGTAAGTGTATTAAAAAGAACAAACTCAAGATTATCAGTTTACTGCTCTCTCATAATCATGGGGATTAATATTTAAATGACTTGTGAGAATTGGCAACATAACAGGTTTATACTTAATTGGAATATTCTTGCATGACATTGAATTTACTTCTGTTCTTGAGAAATTAAGGCCATTTATATATTGGAGTGCACACACACACACACACACACACACACACCCCAAAAGCATGGTGGTGAAACTCCAAGCTATCACCCATAAAGCTGCTGTGAGAATCATGTGGTACAGAACATCCTGAGGGGAGGGGCTACTGTGAACCTGAGGAGGAGGAAGGGCAAGGGCATGGAGTCCACCAGCAACTATCTTGAGTTTCTTCTCAGGGATGCCCCAGGGAAGGAGTGAGGATGCTTACAGCTTTTGTTCAGCTTCACCTCCAGCATTTCTTGGGGATTTGGCTTCAGGGAGTGTCATGATCCTTATGAGTCTTTTCTTTATAAGGGATGGTCCTAACTGCCCCTGTGCTCTCAGAACTTGAAGATAAGGTAGAAGTTACAGTTCAAAGCCATCCTGCGGCTCTACAAAGGAAGTAGGAAAACCTTATCTGAAAACAAAATACACACACACAGACACACACACACACACACACACACACACACACACAGATGGAGAGAGAGAGAGAGGGACAAAGAGGGAGAGAATTTCTTATTGACTTACCCATTCTTTTACTTTGTTTTAGCAATCAGCACAGTCTTGATGAACTTATTCATACAAGCCCCAAAGCTGTCAAAACTACTGCCAGGTAAGAGAGATTTTTCTTCTTCTTAGCTAAATATAATTTGAATAAAAATACCATAATCATTTTATGGAAAAACTGAATGAAATTTTTGAAGTACCTGGAGACTTAAATGTTAATTTCAGTATTCAGACATGGCAAAATACAGGCAGCTGAAAATTGTATATAATGGGAACAACCAAGAAGTGAGGCAGGGCCATAGGTGGGCCAGGAACTACCACCTTCTGTTTGGTTTGTAAAGCATTAATGCTAGACTTGATTCTCAAGCTAAAGCTTATTCATGATAGCTAAGCAGTATACCCAGAGTCCTTGTTTGATACACCATTAGTAATGCATTTTCTTCTTTGTGGAAAAGTGTTTCCAGGGGAAAGTAGAACTTTTATGTGGCTTATTGCTATTTAAAAGGCTTGTGTTTACAAGAGGAATGTAAACTTCAGTTTGAGAATTCTCTGAGAAACGTCTCTAAGTTAGTTAAATTCACTTTTCGTCTCTCATTATATATACTTCACATTATTTATATATGTACTTATTGTATTCAGTCTCAGGAATATTTTCATAATTTTCACTTTTAAGTTGTGTTGACACCTATAAAAATCTTATAGATGAAATGAAGGAAACTTGGAAAATCTTAGCCCAGTTGACGGGAACAATTTTGAAAAGCACTCTTCCAGCTAACTCTGCTTTGTAGAAAGGGGAATAAGGACTCTTCCAGAAAGGTTAAGCGATTCGGCCAGGGTCACAGAGAAAATTCAGGGAAGACTGATAGTTCCGTGATTTCGAAGGCAGTAAATAGTTACCGAGCACCTACTGAGTTCGCAGCCATCACTGGGTCTCATTTGCTTGCACGTTAGGCATAATTACAGGCCATGGACACCAAAAAGAGAGTTCAGTTGTCATACTCAATCTTATTCACAGCGGGCAATTAGCATAGATTAGAGCTAATTATGTACCGGGGGCACAGAGATGTTACTCAGAGACAATAATAGGTTGTCAGTTTACTCTGTTACCTCTAGGAGCCCCATGTACTGCTGGCGGATTTTCAATGTATTGTCAGTGAGTTGATTTTAAAAAGAAAAAAAAAATGAAATGAAAAGGCTGTTCTCATAAACATTACACGGAGTAACATTTGTATTTTGGGGGTAGACGTTAGAGAGGTAAGAGCTGCAAGCAGTGTCCGGTCCAAGCTCCTCATTTACACATGACAATACTGAGGCCTGAGCGAGAAACAATCCGTCTTCTCCGAGGTCCTGTGGTTTCCAGCCGAATTCTGTTCTTTACTCCACAGCACTGAGCCCCTAATATTCAAATAAATGAAGGTCCATTAAATGTCTCAGAAAACACAGGAGGCCAGATCCTAGCTGTGGCGATACACAGCACTGCCTTCTTGAAAGTAGTGGTAGCACAGAGCTTGTCTTTATGTTGGCTGGGCTTTTGCTTCTCAGACTTTGGATATGCTCCTTATTAAAGAGTTTGTAATCAATGAGCAGCAATCAGCACACACGAGAATAAACCAAATGGAAAATATGAAAGTTCTCATGATGTCAGTGCATTGTTTCTTGCAATTTCTCTCTCTGTCTCTGACCCTCTCTCTGTGTGTGTGGGTTCTTACTGGGCTTTATATAATACTGGTTTGAATAGAATATCATTGTTTTAGGGCTTTAGATAAACAGTCTTGTTTCATGCTCAGTAGAACATGTAGAAAAGTAAACTTTGACATTTGTTTTTGTAGTTCCTGCCTTTATTCTAAATTATGCTTGTGGATAGTATGTGCAGTCACCCAAAAATCCATTGTGATTGATTTTACATGTAAACAAGCCATGACTTTTAAGCACACTCGTCCCTCTACAAGGTTTTATTCCTTGTTATTTCTTTTTTCTCTTAATATATTAAGTTGACTTGATTTTAAATACTTGCATATTTGTCATCATTTAGATTTCTAATGGATTTTCAAGACTATTTTCTCACTTAATCTTCAAAGCATTTATTTTGTAACCAAATGCTTCCAATTAACTTATTCTGAGACATTATGTTTTTAGTAATGCTTCTTTGCCAACGACTCTTTCTATTATGTTATGGATTTTTTTAAATTGAAAATATTATTCTTGAGGATAACTCAACACTTTAAAATTCCAGGTTGAGATTTTCCATCTAGTAGGGAGATCTGATTACTCTGAGAAGATGTCTTCAGGTCTTGAAAGCCGGGATGGACACATATTCCATGCAGAAGGGGAGGGGAATGTCACCTTGGATCAGACTGATGATGACTCGCTACTAAACGGCTTCCTCTCTGTTTAGCTCTGTAGAAACTTCTTCATTAGTAAAATATCTTTACATTTATCAACGCAAGTGGTGAAGGGAAGGAGATCCAAGCAAGTTGCTGCCCAGATGGTACTGGAGAAAGATACTGTTGCTCTTGAAATCCTTTGTCACAGCACATGACATGTGACTCTCTGAGTAAATATTTATGAAATGTTAAAGAACAAATAATCCAATTAAAATAGGCAAATGGGCTGAACAGGCACTTCATAAAAGAAGTATGAATGCCCAGTAACATAACAGAAAGATAATCATAAGTGAAATGCTCTACTGTAGTCAAAATGGCTTTATGGAAAACAAAATAAATTTTAAAACACACTAGACCAAAATCATAAACAAAGAAAATATCCAAGTGCTGGTGAGCATAAGGGGACAAAAGCAACCATTGTACACTATTTGTGTGACTGGAAATTAGTCTAGACATTAGGGAAATCAGTATGGTCTTTTCCTCAAAAATCGAAACCAGAGCTGCCATATGACCCAGTTCCACTCTTGAGCATATATAGGAAAAAAAGTCAGGCTTCAAAAAAAGATACTTAATGCAATGCAGTGGAGTTTGCATCTTGATGCATGAAAGCTTAAAAACAAAAAGCTGAAACAAGAAATTAGAGAGTGCAGGAAGATTTATTACCTGCACCAGGTAAGGAAAACACCAGGTAGGGGAGTCATTTCCAAAGCAATAGTCTCCTTAAACAAAGAAGGACCATATTGTTCACAAAGCTTATGCATATTCACACAAAAGAGCAGATTCAGTTCAGGCCCAGTTCAGGCTGAGCATCCTTAGAACAACATGAGCATTGTTGAGCAATCTGTGACCTGAGCAATTTCAGGTTATAGAGCTCACGGGAGACAGATGGTGGATAGAGATTCTTTTAAGCACACTTAGCTTATTTTATTAAACCAAAAGTTTCAGGCAAGGTAGAGGAAAAAAATAATTAGGGGACACACTTGTCCCCAAGGGTTCGTGCCTCACTCACCTTCTCACAGTACTTGCACACAGTACTTGCACAGTACTATGGCACTTTTCCCAGCAGCTAAGATATGGAGTCAGCCTAGCGGCCCATCAGTGAATGATAAAGAAAACAGATCAGTACAAATCCATGTGTTCATGTGAGCATTATTCAGCCATAAAGAAGAACAAATTATATCATTTCCAGGAAATGGCTGGAGCGAGAAGGTATCATGTTAAATAAAATCTCACAAATAAAGGAAGACAAGTCAAGTGTTTCCTCTCACGTGTGTAAAGAAACCCCCAAAGAAAAACAGAAAGGCACTGACAGCAGAGGAAGGGGTGGTTAAGGGGAAGAGGCTTGGGGAAGGAGCGAGAAAGAGAAGGTTGAAAGCAAGTCGAAGAAAGAGTGATGTGATCAGAACATGCTAAAGGCGGGTGTGGAGAAGGGACAGTGATATCCATTGATTTGTATGATCAGTGAGTGCTAATAATTATAATTAAAAAGGTTTAGAGTTTACATGTGCAATTCTTAGGCCTTAGGACCGGAGCTCAGGATATGAATCTGGTGGGCAAATGCTGTTTGGTAGCTGAGAAAACAACCACGCAGTGGATGTTCAGGAGGATAGTATTTTATAAAGCGCGAATCTAACAATGAACAACTGGGTTCAGTTCAAGTTCCGCAGTCATTATAAGCTTGTGATTGTCATGGCTAGGTTTATGTTTAGGACATCTCAGCTTTTGAGCTCCCGTGTTTAATATTGATCCGATCTTTAAAACGGCAAAAACTTGAGAACCAGTTTGTGTCTTCATAACACTGAAGTGTGAAAAATGCCAATCGTTAGATAGTCTCTGTGGAGTGCTGAAGATGCATGCCCTGGTAGATTGCTCTAAAATGAAGTGTGTGGACTCAGAGCAAGTTCTGAGCATAATTCCTCCTGCCTTGGGAAGATTCCATTGCTGTTCTCAACCACAACAATGTATAATATAACAAATATAATATATAATATAATATA